CTGTGACCACCAATTTCGCACTGGTGATGGGTTTCCTGCCCATCACACTATACACCGAATATTAAGAGTGCTCATAGGTCGCACCGTTAAGATTTGTGCCGAAATTCCGTATTTCCTCCTATACCTTAAGTTAAAGGGGAAATATCCCCCCTCCGTTTACACATCTTGACCTTTGACCCTTGACCCCCAAATTTGTCATCCTGGGTCCTTTTCATGATCCCCCCGATGTCCCAAATATCGTGACCGTACGTCGAGCGGTTAAGATTTAAGCCCAACTGTTGATGCACGGACGCACGCACGCATGCACGCATGCACGCACGCACGGACATTCATGCGATTCTACAAGCTGCATCCGACTTCGTCCGATGAGCTAAAAAAAACACCTTCATTTCGGTGCAATCTTGAAATTAGCTTGAATTCTTCATAACCTCTGAATTTAGTGGGTGACCCAACAGGTCACGGGTGGTCTAGTGGCTTATTAAAAATATACATGGGACCTTGAGTTCTTGTTCGGGTAATTCGAAATTCGGATAATTGATGTTCGGATAACCGAGGTTTGACTGTATATATATACAATACAATTATAATATTTTCTTACCATTGACTTCAACTTGTTTCTGTAGAAAGGACACCATCCTATATTCATCACCATTTTGTGGACGTCTCCATTGTCGACTTGTGCCCAGCCATAATACACACCACAATCCAATGTCTCCGGCAGATTCTTTACTACGTCCTCTGCATAATTTGCTTTAAAATGAAAACATTGTGATATGAGTACAGTTACACAACCATGATAAATTAAAGACTTTACTTGAATTACCTGGTATTAATTAATTTTTTTATTGTATGGTGTCAAATGCAAAATCAATTTAATCACACTTAGTTTTAATAAACTCCTATACAAAATTCCTAAACTTGCTTACAACAAAATTACAAGATATCAAAGACAGTCAAACAATTTTTTACATAAATAGACTGTATCAATCACAACCAGTTGGTTGTCGCAGATTCTTCAAATGCATAAAGTGCTAAAAACAGTCAGAAAATGGTTAGGCGCACATATACATGATTCAACTCACTTATTGCAATTAGATAGAACCTTTCTGTGCTTACGACATGCAAAAGGCATGTATGTTATATATATATATATAAATTCCCATATATTTGTGTTTTTTTACTGTTTTAATCTTTATAGGTAAAAGATTGTACCTAGGCTAATTCTAAGCCTTTGTGATACCACTAGTTCACAGCAATGATTACACCTACTTTTGTTGTGCACATGTTCTCACAAAGAGCTATTTTATATAATGTGACTCTTAAGAATGTTCTGTACAACAGCATTTATCTTTATGCCAAGTTCACTATGAGCCACGAAACACACAAAAACTGGTTTTATACGGAATGTGTGTTCATTGTTTTGTTTTTAATAATTTTAGCATCTTGTGGTGCATAGCAATATAGAAACTGCCTTTGTTTCCGTAATAAGCTTCGTCCAGCAAAGATACCCGCTTACAGGAAGTGGTGGTGTTGGCCCAAACCCATTTCTACAGCAGGCGTACAATGGAGAGAAAATCAGAATCAGTGCCTTGGTCAAGGGCACAACAGTTATGACCAAGGTGGGATCTAAAACTCTGACATTTCAGCTCAAACGTTCCAAGAAGTGTTAAGCAATAGGCCGTGCTTCATCTGCACGTGCATGGACAGACTATATATATATATATATAGAGAGAGAGAGAGAAAGAGAAAGACAGACAAAGAGAGAAAGAAAGAGAGACAAACAGAGAGAGAGAGAGATATAGATAGATTTTGGGTACAATGTATAGTATATAGATAAACCATAATGATACTCAATTACTTACATACATCTACATGGAGATAGCATAAAGATTAGTTCATATCTATTTGTGCACTGTTATCAAAGATAGTAGCTTTGTTGATTTAGGATCAGTTGGCCATGAGGACCAACTTCCTGATAAATCGACCATTTCAACACGTAATATTTAGGCCATTATAATATAACATAAATACAACATAAATATAAAGGCATGTTGTACATGGCTGCAGTGTATAATGAAAGTGTCAATGACACTGTAGCTCACCACAAAAAAGGACACAAATGAGTGAGTATAAAGGAGAAGTCAGTTTTAATTGAGCAACCATCGACGT